ATAGCCGTGTGTGTGTGTGTGTGTGTCTGTGTGTGTGTGCACTCAGTCGCTCAGTTGTGTCCGACTCTTTGTAACCCCATGGACTGTAGTCCGCCAGGCTCTTTTAGCCATGGACGTTTCCAGGCAAGAATACTGGAGCGGACATTGTATTTAATTGCACTGAGCAGCTTCAACTACATGCAACAAATTCTGGTAAATTCTCTTCTCATTTTTATTCTATTACCGATATTTCTAATTTTCCTTATTATGGTTTCTTAGAAACATTCATCACTTAAAAGCAGACGTTTAATTTCCAAATAGATGGGAAATATCCATCTATTTAAAGTATCTATTTAAAGTATCTTTAGTATTAATTTATCATTTAGATTCTTTCTAATTTAAATGCTTTCTCCTCTGCAATCACCCACTCTGCTTTTTCAGTTTTCTAACTTTGTTGAGGCTTTTGATGGCTAAGTCAAAGATCTCTTTTGGTAAATACCACATTGCATTTGAAAATATGTGGGCTATTTTAAAATATCTTTTGATATTGATTTCTAACATAATTCCACAGTGATAAGAGAACAAACTCTGCACAATTTCAATAACTTTAGACCATGAAATTTTTGTACCTTGTTTTATGTCCCTGGATATGTTCCAGTGTCTCCTAGTTTACAGCCTATGGGAACTTGAATAGAATTTGTAATCTTACTGTTGTGTGAAAATTATGTAAATCTTAATTATGTTGAATTGGTTCACAGTGCTTTCCAGGTCTACTTTATTCTTATACCTCTCTGTATATTCATTCTATTAAGTTTTGAGAGTTTGATATTGAAAGTCCAACTAAAAATTCTTAATTGATCTACCTAAAAAAAATTGTAATATATAGTGGAACTATATGTAACTTTGTTCTGTGTTTTCCAAATCACCTGTAAATTTGTTATCATACTTTCATAATCTAAAAAAATAAAAATTAAAAAGAAATATTGGAGTGGGTTGCCTTTTCCTATTCCATGGGATTTTCCTCACCCAGGGATCGAACCCATGTCTCTTGCATCTCCTGCATTAGCAGGAGGATTTTTTTACCACCATGCCACCTGGGAAGCCCAACAAATAGCAACTCCATTCCAAATAAGGTAAGAATGAGACTGTTTTAAATATTCGTACCCATTTGTTAAAAAACAAAAAGAAAATATGATTTCTAGTTTTTCCCCTTTAGGCTTGAGTACACGCCTCGAGTCACTTGCCAAATTTTCTGTCAGTGGATTGTTTTCAAAAGTTTTATTTCAAGATTTATTGCAACATTCCCAAGGAAACCAATCTTTTTTTGTGCTCTACAAAAAGCACAAATGTCATTGTGACGTATTTTGGTAACTCAATATGTGGTGAATAAACACTAATAATCTGGTATATCCATTCCTAAATGTGATTTTAAACATACCAACTATGAAATTTTAAGTAAATAAACCCAAACAATTAACTTTTCAAAAAGAGTTAAAGTCTGTATGTTTAACAAAAGCTAAGAGTTGTGGGCCAATAGATCGTTGTTGGTCCTATTCAATAATCATTTATGGGTCACTATGTCTGGAACGGGCTTCCCAGGTGGGCTTAGAACCCATCTGCCAATGCAGGAGACCTAAGAGACACTGGTTCGATCCCTGGGTCGGTAAGATCTCCTGGAGAAGGAAATGGCAACCCACTCCAGCATTCTTGCTAGGAGAATCCCATGGACAAGAGTCTGGTGGGCTACAGTCCAAAGGGTCGAAAAAGTTGGACACAACCAAAGCCACTTAGCATGCATGCACACATGTGTGCACCAGCTCCATCCAGCAGAATTTCCTGTGCTGCTGGAAATGTTCTTGATCATCATAGTCCAATATTGCAGTCACCAACCGTGCATTGGTTATCGAGTACTTGAATTGTGGCTCATTAAGAACAGAGCCTTTCATTTCACTTAATTTTAATTTAAATGCAAATAGCCACATATGGCTAATGGTATCTTTTTGGACAGTGCAGATATAAAACAGATACCACTGTTTTAAGATAGAAAGAGAAACATGATTTGGCTTTTCTGTCATAAATCTACAGAGTAATGGGAGAAATAAAATGCACACATAATTTTACATCAAAATCCCAATTGAATTTCTATGGAACTTAATAAAGGATAAAATTTATACAGAAGAAAAAAAAAATCCCAAATTGCCAAGATGACTCTGAAAAGGAACAAAGTAAGGGTAGAGAAGAGATGAGACTTGTCCTCCCAAATACTAGGAAATGTTACAGAAATATTGTGATTAATAGTAAAATACTGTCACGGAGATAGACATGTAGAGCGGTGAAAGAGAACAAAGAACCCAGAAACTCTTTCATGCATTTTTTTTTTCTTTTTGGAAGATGCAAAAAGCAGAAGCTATAAAACAAATTGACACATGATACTACATCAGAATTTAAACTTGTAGTCACCAGGACACTACAAACCCAGTGAAAGGAGAAGCCACAATCCACGAGGGAGGGGACATATTTCTACATAGAGCTGACTCACTCCCTGCACAGCAGAACCTAACACAACATTGCAGAGCAATTATTTGTTGTTCAGTCACTAAGTCGTGTCTGACTCTTTGCGACCCCGTGAATGGCAGCACGCCAGGTTTCCCTGTCCTTCACTGTCTCCCAGAGTGTGCTCAAACTCATGTCCGTTGAGTCGGTGATCCAACCATCCAACCATCTCATCCTCTGTCACCCCCTTCTCCTCCTGCCCTCAATCTTTCCCAGCATCAGGGTCATTTCCAATGAGTTGGTTCGTCACAACAGATGGTCAAAGTACTGGGGCTTCAGCTTCAGCATCAGTCCTTCCAATGAATATTCTGGATTGATTTTCTTTAGGATGGACTGGTTCGATCTCGTTGCAGTCCAAAACTCTCAAGAGTTTTCTCCAGCACCACAATTCAAAACCATCAGTTCTTCAGCACTCAGCCTTGTTTACGGTCCAAATCTCACATGAGTACTGGAAAAAAAAGAATAGCTTTGTCTACAGGGCCCTTTGTCAGCAAAGTGATGTCTCTGCTTTTTATTTGCTGTCTAGGTTTGTCATAGCTTTTCTTCTAATTATACCAATTTAAACAAAAAAGACAAGCCACGGACTGAAGAGATAGAACATAATACATAGCTGACAAAGAAGCAAAGCAAACAAATAAACAAGTAATTTTCAAAAACTTCAGTAAGAAAAAGCAAGTAACAAAGAACACAGGCAGAGGATATGAGAAGCGACTCGCAGAAGACAAACCTAAATGATGAATGCCACGTGCTAAGCTGCTTTTACTCATGTGCGACTCTTGCCACCCCATGGACAGAAGCCCACCAGGCTCCTCTGCCCACGGGATTCGATGCAAACGTGCTCAGTCTGACCAAATCGGTAGTGTGTAAATCAGAACAATGGCACTGCATTTTAAGCCCAGAGTATCTGCTACTGCACTTGAGGGTAATGAGCAAATGTTAGCGTGGATATGGATGATCTCAGAGGTTGCTGATGAGACATGGATTGGGGCCACCCACTGAAAGCAATTTGGCGACATCTGGTGAAGCTCAAAATAGGTACATACTATGGTCCTGACGCAACAGTTAGAACTGGACGTGGAACAACAGTCTGGTTCCAAATCGGGAAAGGAGTAGCCAAGGCTATATATTGTTACCCTGCTTATTTAACTTATATGCAGAGTACATCACGTGAAATGCCGGGCTGGATGAAGCACAAGCTGGAATCAAGATTGCCAGGAGAAATATCAGTAACCTCAGATACGCAGATGACACCACCCTTAAGGCAGAAAGTGAAGAACTAAAGAGCCTCTTGATGAAAGTGAAAGAGGAGAGTGAAAAAGTTGGCTTAAAACCCAACATTTAGAAAACTAAGATCATGGCATCCAGTCCCATCACTTCATGGCAAATAGATGGGGAAACAGTGGAAACAGTGTCAGACTTTATTTTTGGGGGCTCCAAAGTCACTGCAGATGGTGACTGCAGCCATGAAATTAAAAGATGCTTGCTCCTTGGAAGAAAAGCTATGACCAACCTAGATAGCATAACAAAAAGCAGAGACATTACTTTGCCAACAAAGATCCACATAGTCAAAGCTATGCTTTTTCTAGTAGTCACATATGGATGTGAGAGTTGGACTATAAAGAAAGCTGAGCGCCGAAGAATTGAGGCTTTTAAACTGTGGTGTTGGAGAAGACTCTTGAGAGTCCTTTGCACTGCAAAGGGATCCAACCAGTCCTACAGGAAATCAGTCCTAATATTCATTGGAAGGACTGATGTTGAAGCTGAAACTCCAACACTTTGGCCATTTGTTGCGAAGAACTAACTCACTGGAAAAGACCCTGATGCTGGGAAAGATTGAAGGCAGGAGGAGAAGAGGACAACAGAGGATGAGATGGTTGGATGGTGTCACTAACACAACGGACTTGAGTTTGAGGAGGCTCCGGGAGTTGGTGATGGACAGGGAGGCCTGGCGCGCTGCAGTCCACGGTCAGAAAGAGTCGGACATGACTGAGTGACAACTGAACTGGTGATCCTGAGAGTCTGTTTGTAGGCATTTACTTTAGATCAGTTCTTGCCGAGGGAACGTGCATGACAGCTTCACTGCCATATCATTTATAACTATGAAAAATTAAAAATGAGCTGAGTGTCTCTGGAATAAATTGTAGTACAGCCATTCAATTGAATGATACATAGCAGTAAATGAGCTAGATCCATATTTATCAAGACTTAGAGGTCTCAAAAATATAATGTGGAATAAAAAAGGGAAGTGACAGAAAAATATAGAGTATGGTATCATTCATGTAAATTTCAAAGCATCCCAAGTACTATGCAGGTTCCCCCCATTCTCCAAAGGTAGAGCTTGCCTATGAAAGCTCTGCAAAGCTGAAATGTGGAAAAGCAAAGAAGCAGTCACCTTAGGACACACCTTGATAACAGAGGCAGAAAATAAACAGAGATGAAGCACAGATGCTCACAGGCAATTCAAACCTATGCCGCCCAGAAGGTGAGACACTGCATGTAGTTTCTGGGGTAGGCACTGGGCAGGGCCACTCTCCCTGCTGGGGTGCACACTGCTTCTTGAACGACTCGCTGCAAAACAAACACCGAATGCTATTTTCAATTTTCATCTTTCATTATAAAAGTGAAAATCCTCTTTGATTTCCTTTGGTTAGGAGAAAACAGGTGCTGATGTCATTCTTTCATAAAAGCAAAGTGTTATAAAACAAACTTTTGAAGCGCAGGAGACCCCTGTGTCGTTTGTAGTACCTAGGTATAAAAAGGGTTAAAACATGGATGAGATGAGTAACAACTTCATAACAGCTGTACCTGGACAAGAGAGGCACTGAGCCTTTAATAAAGGGGGCCACACTCTGCCTTCCTCTCCCCTAGGGCCAAGCAGGTGTACCCACCTGAAGCCCATGCCCCCTCCCATCTTCCTGCCCCTCACCTCTCACACCACCCATCCCGCCCCTGCTGGGATCTGAGATCCCAGGATTCCCTGCCCAGTGGTCCTGAGGCCTCTTCTAGGGCCTGCACGACTCTCCCCCAGGCCCACCTTCCAGAGAAAGGGCCTGGTAGCTGCCCTGGGAGGATGCCCGGGTGACAAGGACAGGACATGAAGGCATGTGACGGAGACTGCATCTGTGTCTAGGAGTCTTAGTTCTTCGTAGCTGCACATCTAAGATGTAACAAAAGAAGGCAGACGGCCAAACAATTGATGCATTCGAACTGTGGTGCTGGAGAAGACACCGGAAAGCCCCTTGGACTGCAAGGAGATCAAACTGGTCAATCTTAAGGGAGATCAACTCTGACTATTCACTGGAAGGACTGATGCTGAAGCTGAAGCTCCAGTATTTTGGTCATCTGATGTGAAAAAATGACTCATTAGAAAAGTCCCTGATGCTGGGAAAGATTGAGGGAAGAAGGAGGGCATCAGAGGATGAGATGGCTGGATGGCATCACTGATGCAATGGACGTGAGCTTGGGCAAACTTTGGGAAACGGTGAAAGATGGGGAGGCCTGGCATGCTGCAGTCCATGAGGTCACAAAGATTCAGGCACGACTGGGCAACTAAACAACAAGAAGAGGAACAAGATATAATTACAGGACATTTGCAAATTCTGGGAAGGGTGGAGGTTCTTATTACTCTCTTTATTAAGAGCCAACTTATACATATTAATAGCACTCATCATGTGCTAAGCATGCTTTATTCACTTAGTCGTGTCTGACTCTTTGCAACTCCATGAACTATAGCCCACCAGGCTCCTCTGTCCATGGAAGTTTTCAGGCAAGAATACTGGAGTAGGTTGCCATTTCTTTCTCCAGGGGATCTTCCCAACCCAGGGATCAAACCTGAGTCTCCTGCATCTCCTGCCTTGCAAGCGGATTCTGTACCATGTTCTAAGTAATTTGCATTAAAAATGTAAAGGTTCCATACTACTCGATTTTACAGAAAAGGCTAAATATCTTGCCCAAGGAAGAAGCACAAGCTGGAACGAAGATTGCAGAGAGAAATATCAATAACCTCAGATATGCAGATGACACCACCCTTAAGGCAGAAAGTGAAGAACTAAAGAGCCTCTTGATGAAAGTGAAAGAGGAGAGTGAAAAAGTTGGCTTAAAACTCAACATTCAGAAAACTAAGATCATGGCATCCAGTCCCATCACTTCATGGCAAATAGATGGGGAAACAGTGGTTGACTTTATTTTTCTGGGCTCCCAAATCACTACAGATGGTGATTGCAGCCATGAAATTAAAAGACGCTTAGTCCTTGGAAGGAAAGTTATGACCAATCTAGATAGCATATTAAAAAGCAGAGACATTACTTTGCCAACAAAGGTCTGTCTAGTCAAGGCTACGGTTTTTCCAGTGGTCATGTATGGATGTGAGAGTTGGACTGTAAAGAAAGCTGAATGCCGAAGAATTGATGCTTTTGAACTGTGGTGTTGGAGAAGACTCTTGAGAGTCCCTTGGACTGCAAGGAGATCCAACCAGTCCATCCTAAAGGAGATCAATCCTGGGTGTTCATTGGAAGGACTGATGCTGAAGCTGAAACTCCAATACTTTGGCCACCTGATGCGAAGAGCTGACTCATTTGAAAAGACCCTGATGCTGGGAAAGACTGAGGGCAGGAGGAGAAGGGGACAACAGAGGATGAGATGGTTAGATGGCATCACCGACTCAATGGACATGTTTTGGGTGAACTGCGGGAGTTGGTGATGGACAGGGAGGCCTGGTGGGCTGTGGTTCAGGGGTCGCAAAGAGCCGGACACGACTGAGCAACTGAACTGAACTGAAGGTCATTCAACTCAGCGTGGGATTCAAACACTCCAAAGTCCATGATCTTAGCAACTTCTCTAGGTCTGCTTGTCCAAATGCTCAGCTTACTTTATTTAAAATAAATACATAAATTAAAAAATTAAATTAAAATAGCCTGACAATGGCAATACAAAGGAAAATGTAGTGAAATTTCTTAAGAAGGTTCTTAGATGTGTTCGGAGCACAGACATGACTTAGGGAAGAAGGTACGGTGGTTGCAGAGGACTCAGCAGAGGGGGTGCTGACGTTCTGCCCAGGCCTTGCCGGGCCGTGGCTGTGAGGATGGGAGGGCGAAATGCCAGGAAGAAGAAACTTCGTGTGGACAGGCGCAGATTTAGGGAAGTTAAGGACAGATTGAGGATTAGCAAGTTGTATTATGTTTGGCTGGCACATGGGGGGACAACTTGGTGAGGGATATAGGTTGGGATCTTGAAAGGGAGGGTGAGAAATGAGTGTTTAATTTGGAAACAAGGCAAGCCCTTCAAGGCAGCACCTCGGAGCTGCTCTGTGGGAAGGCAGTGAGGAGGGCGGGCTGGCCCCCAGAACAGCTGCTGTGGGTGAGGAGCCCCTGCGGCACTGTGAACAAAGACAGCGGCGGAGAAGAGAAGAAGCCATACGTGTGTGTGTGTGTGTGTGTGTGTGTGTGTGTGTGTGTGTGTAAGGCGAGGTGTCAGGAAGCATCCATCTATTCCACAAATATTTACAGAGAACCACTATGAACCAAGCAATATTCTAGATGGTCGCAAGATAGAAATGAACAAAGGAGAACTTTCTGACCTCGTGAAAACTGCATCCTAGGCAGGAGACACGAGAAAAACAAGTAAATACAGTAGGACTTCCCTGGTGGTCCAGGGATTAAGAATCTGCCGGCCAACGCAGGAGACACGGGTTCACTCCCTGGTCCGGGAAGATTCCACATGCCCTGGGGCAACTGAGCCCGTACGCAACGACTGCTGAGCCCACAAGCCGCACCCCCTGAAGCCCTCGCGCCCTAGAGCCCGGCTCCACAACAAGAGAAGCCGCTGCAAGGGCAAGGGGAAGCTTGGGCAACTAGCTCCCATCCGTCTCTGCAACTAGAGGAAGCCTGCATGCACCAAGGAAGACACAGCCAAAAGTAAATAAACAAAGGAAGAAAAAGATGCACATGTTAGACGGTGATAAGCACTTTGGAGACAGATGAAGCAGGGAAGGGTGCTGGGGGCTTGTCTGTATATGTGCACGAGTGTGTGTAAGCGGGGAGGGATGGTAAACAGGGATGAGGGGAAGGCACGCTGGAGTTTACTCCAGCCTGGAGAGCGAGGGGTGCTGAGATGATATCTAGGAGTCTAGGACAGGGGTATGGTTACACCAAAAGGCAAGCTGGTAGGTGGAGCTGGGTGGGAGGAGGAAAGACTGAGTCTGGGGGTAGGGGCAGTCAATAACAGGGACTACACCCTGTGTGTAGTGTGTAACATGTAATGTGTGTTACATGTAGTGTGTCACTACATGTAACGTGTAGTGTGTCACTACATGTAACGTGTAGTGTGTGGTGTGAAACACGCATGCATAGAAGTCATTGCTAACCGGGTGAGAGACCTGCTTCAGCAGCTAACAAGGATGAGAGAACCATCAAGAGAGCCAGGGCGATCGTTCGCTCAGCTCGGACTGTGTGCCCCTACCAAAGGGTTTAATCCTCCCCAGTACCCGGAAGCCTTAGGGCATCCCTAGCCATGGACAGGATTAACTCCGCAACAAAGAACAACAGGATTAAGAGCTAACTTGTGAAAGGGTACAGTAGGGGTCCAGCACTTTTTTGGCACTTCATATGTAATAATTTGTTCAACTGTCACAGCAAGCCCAGGAGAGATGTCTCATTTGACATGAGAAGACTGGGCTGGCCAAGTAAGGTGACCAAGGTCACAAGCTGGTGAACCAGACAGCTTGGCTCCCGTCCCAGCTCTGGATTTAAAAAAAAAAAAAAGTCAGCCTGCGCTCTACCAGCTTCTCTGGCCTCTGAGAAAAGAAATCTAAGGGTAGAACGCTTTTTGGATAGCTGGGGTGGGGGTCTGGGGAGACAGCTGGAAAATTCTCGAGAAGGGGGAGGCTAGGCCAGGGTAGGTGGGAGCTGCTAACAGTGCAGGGTGGTCAGCACACGTGAAGGCTGCAGCCTAGAAGGGGCTTCCCACCCCGCCCGGCGAAGGCGTCGGAGCGCGGACGCGGACCCGGACAGACGGACCAGCAGCCCGGGCACTGAGCAGAGGCCCGAACCCCAGACGGGACGCAGCTCTGCCAATCTTGCGAGAAAAGTCAGGAAATGAAAAACAGCCATTCAAACCGGTCAGCAAGCACGCTTTCCAGGCGGTTTCAGGCAGAGAAGAGGCCTTGGCTACAGCAACCTGCAAGCGTCCGAGGTCCCTTCTCTCTTGGAACTCCAGGACTCTGCACCAAGACGCTCAGCCTCTGTGGGTTGCCCAGCTGCTCCTTTTGAAAGTTGGACAATATCTGAGATGTCGCCAAGAATCTAACCTCGAGGAGTCCAAGTTCTGCAGTCGGTCCACTGTTCTGGGACGGTTCTGTCTGGGGGCCTGCGGGGCGGCTCTGCTCCGAGGGGACGAGGCCCAGGGGGTGGGGGGCTTCCCCGGGGCACAGGAGTGGAACTCGGAACGCGGGCGTCCTCGGTCCCCCCTCCACCCCCACCCCCNAGCCCCGAGGAGGAGTGGAACCGCACGGCGCCCGCGCTCCCCGGCCCCGCGCCCCCCGAGGGCCGCGGCGACGGCCGCTGCCAGCGCTACCTCCTGGAGGCGGCCAACGCCAGCGCCGCCCCCGGCGCGCTCAGCTGCGCCGACCCGCTCGCCGCCTTCCCCAACCGCTCCGCGCCGCTCGTGCAGTGCCGGGATGGCTGGCGGTACGTCCAGGCCCACTCCACCATCGTCAGCGAGGTAAGGGGCCCGGCGGCGGCGGGCGGCGCGCGAATCCCCGCGGAGGCCGGGAGTCCAGCAAGCCGGCCGCCGGGACGGTGCGCGGAGGCTGAGACCAATTGGTTACCTCCCGGCCCCCGCCAGCTTCGTGCACTCGGAAGGGCTGCGTCGCAACTGCTCGCCTGGGGTTGTGGCTTTTCTTTTTTCCCCTCTCTGCTAGGGAATTAACGGGGCTTCCCTGATGGCTCAGCTGGTAAAGAATCCGCTGCAATGCGGGACACCTAGGTTCGATCCCTGGGTTAGGAGGATCCCCTGGAGAAGGGAAAGGCTACCCACTCCAGTATTCTGGCCTGGAGAATTCCGTGTTAATGGAGAGGTGCTTTGGTTGCAGGAGTGGGTGAACGAAAACTGCCCTAGAAGCCGAGGGCTAAGATGCTTCGTGCACGCCGAGCATCCAATGGGTTGCGTGTTATCTCTGAGCTGTGTGTGAGCAAGTAGTCGGGAGGGACAGGGTGGACGCGGGTAGAGAACCGCAGAGTCTGGGGCGAGCGACACGAAACAGGTCCGCGCCGGCTGTTGGTCTCCAGCCGGCAAAAAAGAAAGGAGAAATCCAATTTTGAAGGCAGCGCCACCCACGTGATTATCTGAAATGCAAAAGGACAAAGGTCGAGGTTATCCCGACAGCATGATTTTGGTAAAACTCCTTTGGGGCAAAGAGCAACATTTAAGAGAAGTTGGGAAAGCTGAGGTTTTGAATTAAAAAAAAAAAATCCCCCCCCCCAAGGCATGCAGAGTGAACACCCCACTTACTGTGGGTGGTTGCTGGGGCCCGGGCAGGGGCACTCCTCACGGTTGGGGTAGCTGGTGTGGGCAGTCCCCACTGGCTTTTTGGCTACGTCTGGGTCGCAAAGAGCCTGACATGACTGAGCGACTTCACTTTCACAAGGACGGCAGGGCATTGCAGGTTCGGTGCCCTCTCCCTTGGCGGCAGGACTGTCTCAACCCTAGGCTGGCAGTTTGCATCTTTATCTTGGTTCGTTCTAACCTCAGCTCATTCTAACCACTGAGCTCGGGTGGATGGGATGAGCAGTTTTATTGAACTTTGTCTGCAGTCACAGATCGGTTGAATTTCTAACAAATGATTGTGCCCAGGCAATTTGGGGGGGGAGGGGGATGTCTTTGATTGTCATGAGGAGTTTGAAGGACCGCCTTGAATTATGGGGGAAACACTGGCTTCAGGGTTTGCAGCGCCTCTTCTGCCTGTTAACAGTGTTCTTTGGCCTGGTGACCACATCTCTCTGGTGTTGGGATTGTCGATCTTTGAGGTTATGCATGCTCTGTGTGTGAACACGCTGTGTAAGGTCCTCTGCTAAGAGCTCTAGAGATCAAACCCCGGTCAGGCCATATCAGCGTGTGTCTGGGGTACTTTAATTTCTACCTAATTCGTGGGTCACCATCAGGACTGCTTTATAGACTGGTGGTGTTAGGGATTTCACTCTTGAAATGAATGGGCGTGGGAGAGGGTGTTATCACTCATACTTCCTTCGAGTTACATCCAAGGTGGCTGCTTCTATTCCATCCAGCATGACTGCTTAATGCTACTTTCCGAGCAAACCAGAAGATGCCCCTTGGAGAGTAGACACCTGATTTTTGAAAACGTGAATCTCAAATGAAGAATGAAATGACCCTTAAAAGCAAGAGGCACATACACTGCAGTGGGTTCTCCTGAACACATGACCCACACACATCAGAGAGGAGAGACGTTGCGATCTCTAACCCCAGATACCTTAATCTGGACTTCCAGGTTTGTCAAGCATTCCAGGGTTATTTCAAAAGAGGGATGGTTATGAAGTCTTCTGAAGCTCGAAAAGGCACTGTGGAAGATGAGAGCACCACACATCAGGACCTGGGACTGCCTCCAGGTGGCTGTGTGGCTTGGGTGAATTGCTTGACCTCTCTGGGTTTAGCATTCTCATCTGTAGTATCAGGGGATGGATTAAGCCCTTTGTAGTCCTACTAGCGCCATCAGTGACATCACTGGATGGCTATTCTCAGTGTGATCAGCACAATGACAAAAATCTTTCAGGAAAAGTAAAATATTATCCAGAATCCTCTCTTAAGGCCTCTGACAAGTTTTGGAAATATATTAGAGATTATTTTTTCTTTTCTTTTGGTCCAAAACGTTGCTTCTTCTAGTTAGTTTTTAATATTTTGATTCTTGAGAGGAAGCCCTCTGCCTATTCAGGAGGTTCAGCATCTAGAACAGTTCCTTCCCTCTTAGAGTTCTTCACTGCTAATACACTGCTGTCTTCGGTTTTGCATGTGATCCAATTCGGGCTTATTTTTCATATTCTGTCAGAGTGATGAGAGGAACTGTAGTTCTGTCTCTGACTCACAGAGTGTACACAGTGTGTTTTCAAAGACTTAAAACTCGACCATATTAATCATGGAAAGGGAGGGTGAATTGGGAGAGCTCAGAAGGTGGAAGGGGAGCTCAGATTCCAGAATGACCCCTGTGGCTGTCATATTTAATCCTGGCACCACTGCAGGGAAGAGAGCATTGTCCCAGCTTTGCAGAAGGGGACCCTGAGGCAAGAGAAAGTGAAGGGACCAGCCAGCGTCCCAGACCGTCCATGTAGCCAGGTTGGGTTTGGATCCAGGGGGTCTTGATTATGACTCGGTCTCCTTTGGGCCAGGCGGTGCTTGGAGTCCTTGGAACAGGTCCATGCAACATGATGCCAGGTCGCTCACCCTTCAGAACCTGCAAGAAATCTTGTTGAACCTCCTGTTTACTTAGTTACTATCCTGGTCTCCACTGACCAGTGGAGTCATTTTGTTTCGTTTCGCAGTGTCGGGAACATGATACGATGCAGATGGGGCGGCTGTCTTCCCTGTCGTGGGAATGGCTGTCTGTGCTCCCGGCGTGAACGCTGCAGAATGGGCACTTAAACCTCGGCCACCCCTTTTTCATCTTCCAAAGCGAAACAAGCGTCAAGGGGTTAAGTCAGAAGTCAGTGCCAAGTGCAGGGCTGTTTTGGTCCAGCTCTCCCTCCTGTTTATCCTGCTCTAGGCGATGCAGTGGATTTTTCACCTACATTGGAGGTCCTCAACACAGACTTTTCTGATGTCTGAATCTCAGCCTTATCTGGTTGTCAGACATTGGGCGGAAGAAAGCATGATGTGTTGCGGACAAGTCCAGGCCCTTGCCACCCAAATATTTCAGTTCCTTCCCCAGGGAGTGAGTCTTTGAAACTGATGCTGAGACTTTGAAATACTTGCTTGGTGGAGGATGGAGCGGAGGGCTCCTCTCTCACTAGGAACAAGGCTTCAGAGCACCATTAAAAATAGATCGAATTGCCCTTTCTAGATTACTTTTTCTCCCACACACAAAACATGAAGGTCCATTTGAAGGAAGTGGCTGCCCCACTGAAGAAAGCGGAGCCTGCTTTGAACTTGGGGGCTGTCCTGGTGTTTCTCGTATCTCTGCTCTGCTTCTTGCACATCCATCCCAGAACAGAAGCCCAGCCTCAGACATCAGAGCCATGCGCGTCTGGTCCTTGGTGTCCCACCAGCGTGGAGGCGCCCTGCTGTGAATACTGGGGAGTGGAGGTTAGCCAGGCTCCTGGTTTATTCTGAGCTGAGTTTCTGGTTTGCTCAGGGCCCTTGGGAAAGATCTTCCTTTTCTATTGTTTTTATTTTTAACATGACGCGTGCCTTCCCTGGTTTTTTCACTGAATCAACCTCACCAGAGCATCTATTTTATTATTACTTCAAAGGATTGACTATGACAGTGTTCATTTTCTCTTTCTCCCCTTTTATTTCTTTTTAGTTTTCATTATATATTTTTTAAGTTATTTTATTGGAGTATACTTAATTTACAGTGAATTTCTACTCTACAGCAAATGATTGTTATGCATGTACTCACATTCTTTTTCATATTCTTTTCCATTGTAGTCTGTCACAGGATATTGAATATAGTTGCCTGCACTCTATGGTAGGTCCTTGTTGTGGCACTTAGATTCTTCATTTCAATTCTTTCAGTGGTTACCCCTGAAATCTTACCAAGTTTACTTAACTGAGTCTGCATTGAATACTGCAGCCTTCTCCTAAACAGTTTAGGATCGTAAACACTTTCATTCAGTCGCTCCTATGTCACAGGCATTAGCAGTCAGTATTCTAGGTTTGTTTTTTCATTGTTAATTTATGGGTTTTGTGTAGATCATGTATATTTGGTTCACATTTGCCCTTTATCTACTCATCATTCCATGCCATTTCACTTTCCCTGCTTCTTTTTCATGTACATCTTTAAAAAGTTTTTATTTAATTTGTATCTCTAGATGGCGAATGTTCTCCACTTTTGTTTCTATGGAAATTACTTTATTTCACATTATTCTTGAAAGGTAATTCTGCCAGGTAAATAGTTTTATTTTGCCAGTTATTTTTCCTTAGCCCTTTCAGGATGTGAGCTCTGCCTCGAAGCTCTCATTTTCTTTTGAGAAGTCTGTCGTCAGTCTAATTGTCCTTTTCTCTTGAGTTGTGCCTCGGAGGATATTTTTTGTCTTTATCCATTGCTTCTAAAAGGTCCCTGGAGTATAGTAGGCACTCAGTAAATAGCTGTTGAATGAACCAGTTGTATTTTCTTTAACTTCAAATTTTATTTCTTTGGTGGGTTCTGGAAAATTCTCAACTATTATCTCTTCATTTCTTATTTTCTACCCTTTCCTTCTGAAATTCTAATGAGACTTAATTTCGACCTTCTTTATCTGTCCTTTATGACTCTTAACCTTTGTCTCATATTTCCCGTTTCAGTATCTGTATGATGGTTCAGATAGCTTTTCAGACTTATCTGTCAGATCACAATGTTTCTATTTAGCACTATCAAATCTGCTGTTGAATGCGTTCATTGAAGTTTTTTATTTCAGCCCTTATCTTTTTCATTTATCAAAGTCATATTTGTTATCTTTCAGATATCCCTAGTCATGTATTGGGAGCCTCTTATTGCTTGCTCATTTTTGTGTTTC